TCTTACTAAAAGACACTTTTTTGTTGCTCAGTGCTTTTATATTTTTTCGCCACTTTTTTAGCTTTTCTACTTGCTGTTGTGATAAAGGTATCTTACCTTTAAGGGTATTAAGAGCTATTTCACATATAGCCGTGACTAAATCATGAGATGCGGAGCATAAAATATCTTTTTTTTGTGATGGCGATGCACTTATTAGACTTTGTAAAGCCAACCAATTGCGACGTATACGCATAGACATCCTTAAGGATCTGAGATTCGGCAGGGAATGACCTGTTAATGGTATGTTATCGACTTTTAGAGGGCTGTTTGTTATAAATATATGCAGAGGGAAGGTCGGGTGGGAAGAGACCGGTTCTTAAGCGGTACTCTTCGAGGGTTGCAGATCTTAAATCTACAAGTAGATAACCATAAGATTTGCGTGTGGCATCTTCAAAAGCGTCTAGAAAAAATTGTGATTTACCGGGGTACATTTGGCGTGCCAGAGTAGTGATTTGCAGTTTATCTCTTGGGTTCTTAAAAAGTACCATATATTTAGTGTTTAAAGCTATAGTACGACTTTTTTTACCTTGACAGAACACATTCTGCACCAGATACATAATACTCAGATTTCTGTGATGCACATACTTGGTGAATGCTTTCTCAGTTTCTGAACTCTCACTAGCAGCCTCCATTAAGTCATCAACAATAGTTAAATTTACTCTGTTAGGGGGGAACAAATTATCATCATTAAATGTTATGGGTAAACCCTCTATAAAACGAATATTTGGGATTGTGAGTAATAATTCATCATAAAGCACTTGCCAGCAGGCATAAAACCAAACAATGTTATCAGGAGTGTGCGACATTAAAGCGGTAGCATTCTGTAAAACCTGTTTGACAAAATAACTTTTCCCGGAATTAGAAGGGCCTGCCAATATGCATGAAAAAGGATGTTGTAAACGAGTGTCCATGGTGAATGATTAGTAACCAAATGGGAGAGTGGTAAAGTCGTCGACCAAATATCTTTTTGTATATACACACTTCTGTGTTTTCTGTAGCGGTCGCGTCTCTATCTGCCAAAGGAGTTTATTTCTGACAATGGAGGACTGTCGTACCACTATTCTTTTCTGTTCATCAGGGTCTGAGTGCAAGGGGTAGTCCAACACCAGGTCTTTTAAACTGTCAAAGTTAATCAACTGGGCATTACTGGCATGAAGTGTTATGCCTTTCACCTTTAGAGATGTTTTATCCGTCGATAGTTTGTAACCATACGTCTTGGGACCTGCAGATACAAACTCTGTAATGTGTGTGTCACAGGGTATTTCACTAGTCAGCTCACCTAGATAGTCCCCTAGAGGTGGATTCCAGTCACCCGCTGTACTAACAAAAATAACAGAGTCAGTGTCGTGGTAGAGACATCTCTCATTAAGACGGTCTAAAACATTGTACAGTTCAAGTCGTGCATAGGCGGTGGTAAAACATGCAATAAATATATTGGTATTGCGAGACGGACTGTGACAACCCTGGGCGTGCTTCCAACTGAGCATGGCTGTATCATCATTTATGAATGACAGAGAAGACACCTCGTATTCAGGTAAAAATATATAACCAAAAAGCTTGTCAGGATCAGATACAAGACTTGTGGTTTGCAAATTAGGTTTCTGACCAAATTTGCCCCATAAAGAATTAAGAAACAATTTTGCAATCTGTCGTTTTGCAGGGTTTACTTCTATTTTCTCTGGTCTTAGCAAAATACCCTCTTTAGCGTAATAAGCATCAATGTATTGGCGTCTTTTTTCATCAGTCGTACACCATTCAGGGTAACCTGAGGATTCCTGCTTATCCCTAAGGTGCACCTTTATATACTTTTCAAATAACGTATTGGAAGAGTAAGGAAAGTGCCAAATCTCAAAGATCTTCCCCAACCTGTAGCCCTTAATCAGGGCTTGTTGTATTTCAATAGTGCACCAAGTACCTGTCAAAGAGCGTTCCTCCTCATTATGTTCACAATGTGCTGTTTGGTTATTGGCTGTGCATGTACGACATAATGGGAACATAAGTTTGCCATTCATTTTAACCGGTAGAACAGGGAAAAATAGACCTCGGGGTGGGTACACTGTTACTTTAGCAAGGCCAAAATAGTGTTCAAAAGACTGAAAATTATCATAAATGATTACTGGGTGATCCGTGGGATATAATTTTGTTTTGTTGACGTATGGGTATAGACTGGTAAAATCATAATAGTGTATGCTCTCACCTGGGGCCGCTTTGTGGTACAATTTGATTGCGTTTGTGCGGCCCCCATAAAGCGCATCACGAGGTTCCAGCGTCTGTGGAAAATCTTTATCGATAAGAAAAGCCTGTAGATCCTTGTCAGTTTCTAACAGGTTTGACCAATCATGCTCCCACATCTCACGGACCACATAACCCCGCATTTTTAGAAAATGAGTTTTAACATTGGTTTTGTGATGTAATTGTGTATAGGTAGTCTTTGTAACTGTGTTAAAAGCCTTTTCATTATAACAAACTGGGCAACCGTGGTAGAAACAACCCTGAAATTCAAAAGCTGTAGGCTGGTCATCAATCAGAGCGTACCCATCCAAAAAATAGTTACCAACAGCCCTTTCACCGCCCTGTAGAGCGTGCTGAATAGTGACCCCCTCTTTGTGTGCAACATACATTAACCACTGTATAGACTTTGTTGAGAAACGTTTCTGATTTGCATGGTAATTGTCAGAGGGTAAAATTGCTATGGTATTTTTCGGTAAAAACTTAAATCTGTACATGGCCATGCACACAGACGCTAATGTAGTGAGTTGAAAAGGATCAATATCAGCAATGACGGTTTCAGGACCGTCAGGACCCACAATAGTTTTTACCTTCTTGGTCATCTCCATCACACTTTCTCTGTAGCAGACACAGGCCTGTTTCAAGATTTTAACATCATCTATACAGTATTTTTTAAGTTCATTTTGAAAATTGAACTGACAATGTTGGTTCTCTTGATACCAGACCATAAACTCCTTTTTATCATCACACATCATCTGGTCATAACCATAATAGTCGACCAAAGGCATAGGGCCAATATAAGACTGATTCTGGGCTGTGTTAAAAAAGTGTGGAAAATAGCCTTTACAACCGACGAAACCCAGGGCCTTTGGCAATTGACTTAGTTTCATGGGGAGAAAATTTAAAGAATCGATAAATCTGATACCTAGATCAGCGACAGTCACACAAAGTAATTTACCACCTTGCGCCAACAACTCAATAGCAATTTTCTCCTTAAGAAGTTGATTCACCACAAAGTAAGAATCATACCTGCCTGCATTATGCGCTATGAATGTGTAGTTACTAAAGGGCTTGTTTATAAATGTTATTATAAACTCCTCTAGGCACGCTGTACCCTGAAACTCCCAGCACTTATCCCCTTCTAATTCTGAAGCATAGATATAGTTGGGGATATGTACACCGGTCTCCTGCATACATTCAAAGTCATAAAAAATGTATTTGTTAGTAGGGTTTTCTGGGGTGTATCTTCTCATATAACAAACATGGCCATCAAGCGTGACTACAGTGGCATAGCAAATCTGACATTGGAAACCTTTACACTTATGATCGGCCATTACGGTGTAACGGCCGCAGGAGTCACAATAAGCTTTCTGCCTGCACTCTATGTCTCCGGATACGGAGAGCTCTATGTGCAACTTTAAGCACTCTTGTGAACGACAAAAAGTACGACAACTGGAACATCTAGGAAACTCCCCTTTCACTTCTACACAGTTCTGTCTGTGACAGGCCTTACAAAAATACCGGCAGGAATGATTGTTTTTGTGAGAGAATGGTGTGTGACAGTAATTACAGAAGTATGATTCCCCAATGAACGCATTAATTTTTTTAATGCCATAATAATGTTTGTCTTCATGGTATATAAACACAACTTTATCTTTACAGGGCTTGTCTGAATGAAAATAGTGCCACGAACCATGATTGTGATACAGTACTTTAATTGTAATGCCTAAATGTTGTTCAAAAGCTGGGATGTCGCTAAAACTAACCAGACGATCATCAGGGATACCTACAGCTTTATGTATTTCTCTGGCTCTCTCCAACAACAGAGAGTCTACAGGATTATCCTGAGCCACAAGGGCACAAATGCTAGCCGCTAGACACAGGTTATTATTATCATTGTTTAAATCATAAAGCCATCTCTTTTTCCTGGCAATGATACAACTATAGGGTGTTGACCGGAGACGCCTACGATGCATTACACCACCGACTCTATTCCTAACAATGATTACAACCAACCTTAAAGACCCGCTGCCAATAATTTCAGCATTGCTCTGTACCAGGTTTGACACTGCGTTTAAAAAGGTTTCAGCATTCAATTCATCCCTACAATGTCTAATAGAGTGTAACGGTCTGCCAAGATCATCGCTATCTAGCCTTAATTGAACAAAATCGCTGGGACCTATATCAGGCATCATCCTGTTTAAAAGCTCTTGAATAGCATCATGTACAGACTGGAGTGCGTCTGAAAACGATGTTATTCTGTCTAAATTTACAAACCGAAAATGTTCATAATATTCTACGGCATTAAAATTGTTAATATCTCTGCGGCGTTGTTCAACACGCTCCAAAAATACAGGGGCCTCTAACTCATTAACAGGGTTCTGCACTTCGGGATGTTCCTGCGAATCGTTAATATTCTCAGGACTAAATGGACTTTGTTGCGTCTCTGTGGAAAGTTCTGTATGTGTTGGGGCTATTTCAGTATCATTTGTGTGGGGTGTCACAGGGGTAACTGTAGCGTCTACGCCATCCTCAGCCGGAAGCAGCACAGGTGTTAAGCATTTGATTGCATCACAAGGGGTCTTACGGCGTTGCCTAGACATCGCAGAACGTAAAGCACCACGCAATGTATTTATGGCACGTTTAACGGTTCTAGCTCGACGCTTAGCTACAAGTCTCTGTCTGCCCCATTTTTTGGATTGAGATAATAAACCCCATCCAACCATGAATAGTCACGCAGGGGTCAGTAAATTTGGTGTTGGCACAGAGGTATTTCTGGATGCTGGTGATGTAGACCCTCTATGTATATTGTTATCATTGCAGATGGTTTGTGTTATATCCTGTAAAACAGATCTACTTTTCTTAGGGATTGGTTGTATAGGAACTTTTACAGGGGTAATGGATTGTTTCACAGGTACATTTGATGCTACAGTGAAATGTCGACACCCTGATACATTGCCTGGTGATGTGACTGATGGCTTACCCCGAGATGTGTGTTTTGTTGTGGTTAATGAATGTATTTGTTGAGGCTCCTTTGCGACGCATGCCGCACTAGATGGACGCTGCCTTAAAACCCCTGAGGTCGACGTTGACGGTTGTTCATCGTCACGTGTGACTGGAATATCTCTTGTAGAGCGGATCCGGGTTATAGACAACTTTGGTACTGTATTCAAAAATAAATGAGTAAATTAATACACTGATGTACATACAGGTATATCTATGTAGTAAATAAAGATACAAATAAATATACTATATTTATGTAGTATACAAATATACAAATAAACAAAGAACTCATACGTATACTTGCCCTGTTTTAGTTTATGCGGGGTGCAGTCCCTGCGTTCTCCGGCATTCGCGCTGTATGTCTTACGACCGTGATCCGCAGCTGGTAAGCGGCTAATGTCTGTGCATGCATTAGATACTGCTGAGGTTTTTGTACTCTTTACGGTTGTTTCTAAAATAAATAGAAATATAATTATCGCAGGGATAAAACCGGGGATGATACAACCGCATATAACGTTATATAAACACATACCTGCTTTTAATGGTCTATGTGGATGTATGTTGGAGGGTCTGTCAGTCAATACTCTAGTATTCAAAGGATCTAAATAAATAAAATACAATAAGCCTTAGTTTTTGGGGTTTTTTTATGCATAAAAGACTTCAAAATAAATGTTTAGAATTTTAGAACGCTTATCAATATAGAAAATTTACAACCTTGTGAGGCGACCGCGAGCCTTCTGTGTAACTCGTTTTCATTCGTTGTTGGACTGATTTGTGCCTGAAAGGTGATAAAGTATTTGAACGCTTATGAAGGGAACACTAGGTCAGCATTTTACAATGAATGACCACAATCGGTTGTTTGACAAAACAGACACAGTGAGATGCCTAACAGCCACAGTGATATGGGTGATGCTGTAGCATCACAGCTTATTTTAAAAAGGTAATGCCATAACATGCGAGGATAATCTCAGCATAACGCATATATACAACATATATAAGCCCAGCATAACACATATATTAAACAACATACACGGATAAGACCCACAAATGCCTAGAGAAGGATTTTGCATACATTAAAAATATGACTAACAAACAATGCAGACTCTATATAATAGACCCTTACGTTGTTAAAAATAAAACACAAAAACATACGGCACACAGTCTATACTACCGACCCTGACAGTTAGAAATAAAACAACCCCATTGATGATGTATCATCACATCTTATTTTAAAAATGTTATGCTATAACATACACGGATAAGCACAGCATAACACATATATACAACATATAAACCCAGCATAACACATATATTCACCAACATACACAGACAAGCCCCGCAAATGCCTAGATAAGGATTTTGCCTACATTAAAAACATGACTATATTCAGTACGTAACGTTTTAGAACACACAGACACGGAAACAAACAGTGCAGACTCTATATATTAGACCCTTACATTGTTAAAAATAAAAACAAATACAAACGGCATACAGTCTATACTACAGACCCTGACAGTTTGAAATAAAACAACCCCATAGACATTTATATTGTAAAAAACATAAAATTTTAAATATAAAAGCATGATTTAGAATTACTTACCATATCTGTGTCTTGGGTATTCATTATGTAGTTGTATCCAGGAGCTGTCTTATGACCCCTAGTCTTGAGACTGGTCTTTTTATACCTTTTTTTTTTGTAATGTTTTTTTTTTTCTTTTTTTTTTGTTGGTGTTTGCGTGATGGGTTCAGGCAGGTGTATGATGGTCATTGTGTGATGTGGTCAGACAGGTGCATGAGGGTCATTGTGTGATGTGGTCAGACAGGTGCATGAGGGTCATCAGTAGTAAAAATAGCCATACTCATTGCAATAGACAAAACTGATTTTATTGAGAGCAAAATAAATCATTACATATCAATGACGATAACACGCGGTACATCTCTGCACATGCACGCTATGAACGCGTCTATTTTTTAACCCACGCATATATTGCCACACAAAACTGGAGACTAAACGGTCATTTTGTTTTAATTCACTTGTGAAATGGCTTAAAAGCTCTTTAAAAGCAACCCCTTTGCACATATGATGAATAAAAAAAATACAGAATTCCCCACATACTGTAGACAGAGTGCTTTGTAACTGAACATTTTGAAAGTATATCTGTTTAGCATTTCTTTTTAAAAAAATCAGTATTTCTTTAGGGAATATTTCGCTTGTCGGTGCTAGTCCGTACGAATCAAAAAAATATCCCTGTCTCTTATCATCAATATAAACAGCCAACCAGTGCTCCCCGGATAATGTATGTGGATCTGTATTGATAATGAATGCCGCTGGTACGCTGTCCAGTTTAGAGGTGGGTAGTAAATCACACGGAAACACGCCAACAAATATACCTCTGGAATATGGGTCGGTACGTAAAATATGCGTTATTTCTAAGGTGTTCATGGTTAGGTTTTAGAGAAAATCATAAAGAACCTCCCGTCTTTGATTAATTTCAATAACGTTTTCAAACAGTCCATAGACGATCAGATTTACAGTGCGTTCCAGGGCCCTCGAAAAGCGTATTTCCGCCCTTAGGTTACCGCTACGTATGAGTGAAAAATGACTACTGCATTCCTGATCAGGCGATAGATCAAAAGCGAATAATGTATATCCGTCCACAAATTCTACTCTGTTAATTATAATTCCAGAATCACCGCAGTTCTTCTGTGCCAATAATAAAAATGACATATATTCACGCACTGCGTTAGAATGTTCAAAATCAGGCTGAAACGGCTTTGCAGGTATTTGTTCACCATCTAGATAGAGAGCCGCAAAATTTACATTGTGGTGTTTGAAACACAAGGGATTTCTGTCGTAAGCGCCTGAAAAAGCTTCATTGTCGACAAACGCTAAAATGACCATCTTAGGGATCTGTCCCAAGAATATATTTTCCTGATTGCAAACACGACTACCGGTGGGCACACTGAATACTTTCATACTAGCGCGCTCTATGGCATATTTAGCGTTGCCGGTTAGAAGTCCTTGCGCATGACCTATTCGCACGGCCGGTGATATCTGGACTCTTTTAACAAACAGAGACGCATTTATAATTTGAAGTTTAAATGGTTCGGGGTCTGCGGACATTAAACAAAATGTGTCTTTATTTCTGGTAAGTTTTATTTTCAAATCCAGACCGTTCAGTATCAGTTTCTCCTGAAAAAATAGATCGCTATGTAGATGACCAAGTAATTCAACAGTCTTACTGCGCGCTGTCATATGTGCACGCTTTGTAAAGCCTTTGTTGTCACCGTCCAAAACGCGGTCTTGATGTTTTCCCGCAGTATCCTTGTAAAATAATCCGGCAGTAAACTGAGTTGATAAAGCATCGGCGCTGTAATTGAGAAGTGTTTCAATGTAGGCTCGGTAAGCGTAGAGATTATTGGATTGTGATATCAGTCTGTCCCCGAGTGTAACATCTAGCTGATTAAATAGTGTCGCTATCGGGTAATTGATTAGACTCACTCGTGCACCTTCTGCAATCGGCGTATTGTCGTTTTTAACAATTTTACACGTAATGTACAACAGTGTGTTATTCAAATCGAAATAATGTTCACCGCTGCCTGCTATGTAGAACTCGAGCGGTGAAGTTTCCGAAATGGCTGCCAACGGTTGTACTTCCACATACAGACTTTTTTCAATGCTGGTCTGAGTAGGTTTTATTTCAAAAAGATCCAGTTCTGATTTGGCGCATTCTACGGATGCTGAATGGATAAACGACATGACAGCTGTTCAAAATATGTTGTTTGCGTTCCTTCGTGATACTCTTCTCTTCTTTCTAGCAGGAGGACAAGCCTTTTTGTTGTATGTGTACGGCATACATGCAGGAAATACTCCCGGTCGTTTCCGTTTCCTTTTAGGGGTATTTCTACCTATGTATACTAAACCAGTGCCGTCCTGGGGTTCTCCTACTATTTTATTCATCGCTGCCGTTGAAACTCTACCGACAACGTCCTTTGCAATGTTCCTAGCCGCTGTTTTTACATGTGGTTTCACCAATTCTAAACCACGTCTGAACAAAGGCACGGCTCTCCGGAATAAGCTTCTAAATATTCCCCCTAAACCACGACCGTACATATATGTACTACCATGAAATCCCGTCAGTCCCTGACCTGCTTGTGACTTATAATAAGCGCTGTAAACGTGTGGTTCTGCATAGGTTTTAACCACAACCATTTTTTCTTTAATAAAAGCTTCCACGCCGGGGTCGAAAGTGTAGCTTAATGATAGCCTTCCCGTATTTGAATGAAACGTTTCTGTTCTGATCGTTCTTTATCTCTATTGTGATGTTGTCAAAATGGTATTTACTGACTGGTATGTAGTCAGGTTTGATGTACCGCTGGGTAATAATTTCGTTGTTACTGCCGGTAATTTCTACTGTACGTAACAGCGGTACAAAACTGTCGCCTACACGCTGATGTTCTATTATGTCTGTATAAACGAATAAGGTGTAAAAGCTGTCTTTTATATCCGCACACATTCTGCCTGTGACGTTTGGCCTCTCGTGATTATAATCAATACCAAGAATGTGCGTCAATCTGTCGCTGGCAATAAACGTATGCGTACCGTTGATAGATACCTTTCTCTCTAGCGAATCATATTCTAGCTTTATATCCATCGGAGGAAATTTGTAACTTTCAATCCGTTCATTAATACCCGACACCAGATCTTCAATAGCATTATAATATCCTGATTTTACACTAAGCCGTTTCGTAGGTCCGCCTGGTAACCCTACATATATTAAACCATCTGAGGCTTCAAAAGTATTCCACGTGTGTGGATATTGTATTTCTGTTAAACCCACTTCCCATTCTCCTTTTAAGATAATCGGCTTGGATAGTTTTGTCGTATAATTGGATATTTCGTTTTGAGGGTATATTCCGTGCGAAGCGTTACTAGGCAGCGTTACATAAAATGCGGTGTCCTCCATAGTTGTGTTGTTGTTTAAAGGGCGGTTAACTGCTTTTTGTCAATCCAGCTATTGAATGCCGCTGGGTAACCTAACCATTTGACGTAGTACAATGTTTTACCTTTGTCGATTTTCTGTCTTAAAACTTTTTCAATTCTGTAAACACGTTTGTAATTTGGAGGTATTTTCTGTATTTCTTCAGCGTAGAATGATCCCTCAATTAGTTCGTCGTTACAATCTTTTAACGTAAAGAGGGGTTTTATACCTCTGGTATTTATTGATTCCACTACAAATATTTCATCAGTGAAGGTCTGCTCATACCCTTTACTGAAAATGTCTTTATACTTTGATATCCTGACTTGGTCTCCGATTTTCAGCGCTGGTTTAATCCTTTTAAGATTGAAATACTCCCCGTAAATGTTTTTCCACACTATGAGTGTGTTTTCATGCGTCACCGCTGCAGGAGCGCACCGTATTGTTCTGTGTACTGTGTGGTTGTAGCTATATATCAGATCAGCCAGAATATCCACATAGCGGAACGTATTGCGCGCAGTAAAATAGCGCCACATTTTAGTTTTTAATGTTCTGTTAAAACGCTCCACAATAGCGGCCTTCACCATATTATTTGTTATAAAGTGTATAATCTCACATTTTTTAAAGACTGCTTTCACACTCTTGTTAAGGAATTCTTTGCCTTTGTCCGTTTGCAACTTTTGAGGTACACGACCCATTGCAAATATATTCTGAAAAGCATCAGCAACGGTTTTTCCTGATTTATTCTTCAAAGCCACAGCCCAGGCATATTTTGACAGCACATCTATGACGGTCAGTATATATTTTATACCATCATTTTGCTTAGCAAAGTCAATCATTGACACAAGATCAGCTTGCCATTGTTCGTCAATATTAGAGACGCAAATCTTATTGCGCTCAAATCGTCGCCTTGCTGGCCTGTGTAATGTGTAAGCGTCCTGTTCTGTCAGCCATTCTTTAACAACAGTTCTTTTTATGTTATGTTTTTTAATTGACTTATATAATTTATTAATACCACCGTAGCTACCTGCTTCTCTTGGTGTGTAATATATGGATTTTAATATTGATTTATTAATGCTGTTTGGCATCATGATTAAAGAATACTATTCACCTGTTTATCTTGTTACATCTGTCACCCTGAGAGCCTAGGCTGTAAATGCCAGCTGGCTGTAAACAATCATACTGTACCCTGTGTTTAAGGAAAACATTTCAATTGTTGATTTTGTTACGGCTGTCATCCTGGGACCCCCCTGTCTTGGCTGTAGATGCCATCTGTCTGTCATTGCTCATCTAAGCACTATTGGTTTTAGATCTAATTGCATTGACATACGTGTCTAATAAACATTGCTATATGACTTAATTTGGTATTTATTTATTTCACAGATTTATATAGACTTGCCCTCTGGTTTTGTTTTCTACTTTCAAAACTGGCCCCAGACACATCATCCAAAAAACATGTCCAGACTTGGCCTCTTTATTCAGTAATATCCATCCTCTAAATGAAATTATTATTTTTTTTGGGCTATTATGGGTTTGTTCTCTACTTTCAAAACTGATTGTTGAGTAGAATGTCTCAATTTAAGCACATTACCGCTTGGAATGATAAGGGTGAATTTGTTTATAAAAACACTGTTGTACCGGGATC